TCAAATTGGTCTGGCCTTATTAATAATAAGCACTAGATATAGAATATTTTGTCGATATGGCAAAAATGAACGATTTTAGCAAAGGCTGCAGCAAGCTTTAACTGGACCTTAAGCTTAATAAATCTAAAATTATTATTAAGTTATTGTTTAAGATCATTATAAGATTATTACAAGATTAATTAACATTAAAAAAAAAAAAAAAAAAAAGATTATTATAAAATTATAATTAATACTGTAATTTAAGATTATTTTAAGATATATAATTAATTATATATTAGGATTATTTTAAGATAATTATACGATTAGATTATTAAAAGATTATTATAAAATTATTATATGTAAGATTATTTTAAGATTATTATGATATAATTTTAATAATTTTATTATAATCTCAAGACTATTAGGACCCGAAAAATGAAAATAATTACATATAATTGAAAAATTTTACAATTAAGAGCCAAAATAACTTTGCGTTATGATGATAGTGATTCTTCGAACGTTATAACTGTTGATGAACTTTCTTTTACCAAGAAACAATTCGACTAAGTTAAATACGATATATATTGATATTGTAATATTTATTCAGTTCTAAACTATATAATATGTTTATCCTATTGCTATATCAAACTAGTGAATCAATATTTTATGCATTAATCGAAGATATTTAGAACCGAAGCTCACTTTTAACTTTTAAAAATCGGCAAAAAGTGGTTATAATTTGCATGAAAGGCGCTAAGAGAATAAATGCAATACTGATTAAAAAGTAATACGTTTAAATGTCAAAAGACAATTTCATTTATATAATTTTATATGCTAATATTTTTCAAAATTTGGGCCCTTATATGTAATTATTTTCACTTTGGGCCCTTATTTGTAATTATTTTCATTTTTCGAGCTCTTATATATTAATCCCCCCCCAAAATTAGCATGTTTCTATAAAGAACTGTAGCAGTTTAAAAAGAAAGACGAGTTCAATCAATTTTTTTTTTGCAAAATTGATGATGGAAGAAAAGTCAAACAAGTACGAACAACTTAGATTCATAATTTATCTTGAAACAGTTGATTTTGTTAAACACACCAAAATGATGCGTTGAATGTGCTACGAACAACAAACATTCAAGTAACTAAGTATTCAGCTATTTAAGCGAATTGATCTTTATCCGTGTATCATCTCTTTATATTTCATAATCACCCTCTTAAATCTAGTCACGTCACAAGTTTCCGTCCAATATTGGATGAAACAAAAATGAACTTTTCAAGCTCTAGAAAGTGGACATAATCCTGGTAGCGCATACAATATGTATTGGGACAATTACAGCTAAAGTATGATAATGATGAAGAAATTTTAGCTAATAGAGACATAGCCCCTGTAAAAATGATGTTTTTTTATCTTTATAAAAAACATCGTGACCAATACCTAGGTGCTCAAAACGGAAAGGATATGTTCAATCGTTTAGAAAAAGAAGTCTCAGAATTAATAATTTTAATAAAGGATACGTATGGATGCAAACATTGCTCCAGAAAAAGATGATCCTGAGCGGCCGTTCACTCTTGTTATTGTAATGAACCTCATGATACGTTGCCATACATTAAAAGAAGCGGGTGAGTTAGATACGACGGCTGGATTAAATATTTAAATGTGTAATTTAACAACACAACAAATGAGACTGGAGTACAAGAACAAAAAGAGAATATTTCCGAGGTAATTGGTATATACTTGCTACACATAAATGTAATAATATTTTTAAGCTTATCTTTCATTTCTAGAAGGATGATTCTGAAACTTCGAATCTCAGTTACCTTAAAATGTCATATACGGCAGCGAAATAACGCCCATGGGCATTGTTTTTAATAATGACCCGAATTAAGTTTAATAATATGGATAATAAATTTTTGACAATATTGTCAAAAGCAATTTTTATAAATTTAAAATCTACTAAATAGGCGACTATATAATTAATTAGTGACTTTCTCTAACAGGCTCTTTTTAAATTAGCACATTTAAACTGAACTTTTTTAAAAATTTTATCATATAATCGCAATTCGATACTATTCCTCACAATAATTGTTATTCACTTCACTTCTTATCACCCTTTAAACCAAAATTGACTTTATAAAATTTATTAGACAAATAAATTCAGGATTAGGCCATATAAAATTAGATCCTTGGTTTTCGTAACCCAGATGGAACAAAATATTTTTAAAAAAAGATTATATATATTTTTAATAACCGAATGGATAAATTTTATAAAAATTTTTACATATAAATTTCTTTTTTAAAAAAAAGCTGGACGACCGGATCTGTTTTAGAATTTTAACGTTATGAAAACCGAGAAATTAATTTTGTATGGCCTTAATATTAATTTATTTAGCAATTCCATAATCCCATTGTTTTTCTGGTGGTGGATCTTGAAGAGGTTCCCATCTATATAATTGGAGTGTTAACCACACAATTGATTAGATCATATTCATATATTCTAGATTAGACATAAACAATATAATATCCACAAAAATGCTTACGGCTTCCATTCTTCCATCTTAGCAACCAACTTAAGCTCGTCTTCAGCCTGCAAAATAACTTCTTCAATTATACCTGCATCAATTTTATTTTCAATTTCTTGGACATTCTCAGTTGATTCAACAATTGAAAGCCTATGTCTTGTCAATGATTCAGTGGAATGACGGTACAAAGCATTTGAAGGTAGTTTTGTGAGTGCATTGAGGGTATTATTGTAAGTTTCGATTAGATGATGCCTTGGATTTGGATGAACAGCTAGACCGAAAATTCCAGTGGACGTCTAATAAATCAAAGCGTCTAAATGGGTTATATGTCTATATAATTATGATATTCTAAGATTTAATGGCAAACCTTTTGCGTAGCGTTCAATAGATATCGTGTAATATGCATCGTAATGTGTTAATTCTTATTATTCGATAAATTGTAGTTTTTATAGGTTAGCCAAACTAAGATTGTGTACCCACATGATCCTTCAGTGCCAGGGATTCAAATAGATCTGTAGTAGATGTTCAAACAATATCAGACGATACGTAGACAATTAATTAACATAATACCGGTGATAACATTAATACGTAGTATATATATATTCGAATATTCAATAATATTCAATGAATATTCGAATATCCGATGTCTTACTGAATTGAATATTCGAATATAAAACTTTTCAATATATCATGCTCAATCCTATATACTGATTGGTTAGCAATGCTAATAATCATGACTGTAGATGAACAAGGTAAATCCTTATTAGCTAGAAGTTTTCTCTATCGGTTTATTTATTTAATGTAGCTTTTAAGTATAAAATTCATTTGTTTGCTTATGTATCTTAATTCATTATTGCTCCTAATCAAACACTCAACATGATCATCAATATTCAACGAATATTTGAATACTCATTTGAAATGCTGATGAATATTCGAACATTGAAAATATTGAATGAATGAATTTCGAATACTTAAATCAGACCTTTATCTGGAACTGCCTTTTGCGCACTAAATTGTTTTCTTGCAATTTTTGGTATTAATAAAGCTCTTTCTAACCTATTCTAATAACAAAACCTTGTCTTAATTTAATAGCAAAAAGTTTTACCGAAATTTTTTGGGTTAGACTACTGGACTAAAGTTCTAAGATAAACTTGGCCAGTTGAAATTAGAGTTTTTAACGTTGATTTGGCCAAAAGTTAGTAATAATAATTCCCGTTAATATTAGCTAAAAAAAATTTATCACAATATTTTAGTAGTTGAATTAAAGAGTCGACTAGTTGATTAAATATTTACCAGCTATATATCTGTTATTAAAACTATATATAGTATGATATAACTACAGTATAATTATTGGTTATGATATAATGATTAGAACTATGAGACAATATGAATGTAAAGTTGACTAATTGATTTCGGTTATAATAAATCCAAAATAACAAAAGCAAAAAAAACGTCAGGGAACGCTGTATATCGTTATAATACTGTAAATTAAATAATGGTAACAAAATTGTATAACTATGCACTGCTTTAAATGATCTCTCAATTGGCTAATTTGGTTCTTATCTTAATTTACACCAAAATTCGAAATTACACCCCTAGGCGAAAATACGACACAAATTTAAATCAAAAAATAAAATCAAGTGTTTTTTCAACCTTTAAAAAAAGATGATTCCAACTATACATGTGGCCGAAATGTCAAATGTTCAAAGCAAAGTTGCCAATAATTTGTAAATGTGATAGAATTAGGCTTCATATATGTTAAGCCAGATCCGCAGAACCTTATGCAGGTCTTTGGTATTTCGGCAGACTCTGGAATTTTTAGAAATCCGTACTAAATATGCAACCGAAACTTCCAGAGTCTGCCGAAATACCAAAGGGCTTGCATAAGGTTCTACGGATCTGGTTAACATATATGAAGCCTAATTTCTATCACATTTACAAATTATTGATAATTTTGCTTTGAAAATTTGCCAAGTGGCCGAAATAGCCGAAACATTTCGGCCACAGGTACCTGTATAATTCCAACAAACCAACACAATACTAATTTTTTTTTTTTAATGTCTTCAACATCACATGACCAAGTTAAAAAAGGTCTATTGTTTCACAAAATGCTATGAATGATATTAATTTTCGCCAATCAGAATTGTTGTGGGTCAGCCAACAAAACCTCTATCATCTCGGATTAACGTTAAATTACTATATACTGTAATATTGATGGTTTTTTTTTTTTTGATTTATTTGCTTATTTATACACTATTCAGAATTGTCAGTTTAAAATTAAATATTCCGTGAATATGTGTGAATTGCTACTATTAAATAATCTATGATACAATAAAAAGACCAGAAAGGCCTTAAATAATATCGAAATTCAACGTTTTTTTATCACTTCTAACTTAAATATGTGTAAATGTCTATAATTAATTAAATGTTTTGTTAGCGACCAGCGACTATTAAAAAGAAAAATGCACTAATAAAAAAAAAAACAAAGTTTTAATTAGCTATGATAGTAGCTCGAGATTCGTTTGTATTGAATCTGATTCTTCTAAAGTGGGTTGTGAACGGTCATCTTCTGAAAGCAATGGCTTCCGCCGTCCTAAAACGTCTTTTAATTCATGTACCATACGTTCAGAATTTGAACGTGCTTCTTTTGACTTGGCCTGTTTTTAAAGTTTATAATGACCAATAGTCGGTAAAGAATAAAATAAATAAGTCAATTAGATGTAGTTACACATACCTCTTCGATTCTTTTAGTTTTTTGTATTGCAATCCTTTCTTCTCTTGTCAGTTTCTAATGTTAAACATAAATATTTTTTAAATTTACAAAGCTTAGAAAGTTGCAATATTTAAAGTATTTAATGTTATCCTTACCTTCGCAGTGGATTCGACTTCAATTTCAATTTCAGCTTCAGCTTCAAATACTTGTTCCAATACATCCAAAGGTTCATCTGTGCGTGACCAATCAATTGTGTGCGTTTTTTCTGTTGGATCCTCTTCCTGATCATTCTCATCCTTTAAAGTTTCGGCGTCTTCTTCAATAGACTGACGGCTGTTGCTTAAATCTGAATCTACTTGCATTGGTTCCATTACGTCCTTTAAGGCTTTTTTTCCATCTTCCCATTCTTGGAACATGTAGGTAAAATCTTTGCTTATTGATTCATATTGGTTCATTAAATATTTTCTTTCGTCCTCTGAGACTACAACTCCTGTTACAATAAGAATATGAACATTAGTTACAATCAATTATTGAAAGCAATTTATAAAATATTATGATTTCAGGTACCTTCTGTTTCATAATATTTACGCGCATCTTCATTGCAAATATATAACTTTGCCTGAACACCACGAATATGATGTTCAATAGAAGCTAAGCGATGAAGATAGGTCATAAGCTGTTTATTCGTGATCGTTTGCGAAGCTTGCTGAGACAAAAAGTCTTGTTTAGGAGCTGAAATGGTATACAGTACATTTTTAAATATATCTTCATATTATGTTAAGGATATAAAAAAAAATAATCAATAATTTACATAGTTCATTAGCAGATGCCGCAATAATTCTGTCTAGATAAAGTCCTGTAATTGTCCCTAAATTGTCCAGATGTTCATTTACTGTTGCCCAATGATGTTCATAATCTCTCCGTCCAGAATCTCTTCCAGGTGTCATTACGTCCAGTGCGAGGAAATGGCACAACAACTCTCGACGTTTTGTATGCACTTTCTGAAAACAATGTTTCAAATGCTCTAAGGCAAGAATGTCCTCTTCTTTTGATTCCCATTCATCACCTTCTGGACGAGGAATTATATTGTACATATTGTACATAATGGCCAAGTTTTCTTTTAAAATCTCAGAACTCATAGCAATCATAGCATCATGATAACTTATGAAAGCCTCCTGAAGTATGTTATAAACAATTTCTCTAAGCATACTACAGCGACGATTTTTTGAAGATTGTTCGATACGGGATATTGGAGAAAGAGGCATGGACCTGTTAAAATTTGATTCTTTTAATTAAAGAATAAGAAAAATTCAAAATCAAATAGACTTGAAGTAAATTAACGACTTACAATCTGTAGCCACGGGATACGAGTTCGATTTCTTGGATCATTATTAACGCTCTGTTTAATTTTATATCGAAATTTTGACAATTATATACAAGTTTTTCTAAATAGTATAATGCTGATTTATACAATGTTTTCGTAGCTTTTCGTCGCTAAATTTAATAACTAAAAAGATTAATATAAAAATTAATGTAGAATGGAAAGCGGTGATTAATCAGAGATAATTACCATGTGACGATATAAGAAAAAGGTACAACACAATGCCAAAGCAAATGCAGCTGGTAATTGCATCATCTTTGTACCAATATCTTTGGAATCTGTACCGTGCAATAACCAAGTTAGAATGACGACGATTACGCCGATTATGGAACTCAGCAAAATTTCAAAATTTCGACGCGAAATTCCGCCAAAATACAATCCAGCATCACTGACGTCTATTGGTTTAGGTTTCTTACTATCATAGAAGTAAACCGACAACGTGTCGTTTAAAAGATGCGATGTGCATAATAAATATTTAAACCGTTCTTCGAATTCGTTTTCTTCTTGTAAAGGAAGTGCCGTTGATAATATTTCCTAAAATAATAAGATTGCGTCTTATTGAAAGCATACCTATGTCAGCTTAGCAGTATTTAGGGTCCTTATACTGTCATACCTGTATATAATTAAGCATGTTTAACGTATGCTGTGAAAATCGGGACACCAATGTGGCATCGTTAGCTTGCGAATCTCTTTCTAATTCAAATAGAGGTTGTTTAATCAGCTCTTCTTCACTACCGATACCTATTAATAATATAAAGCACACTTTAAAAACTTGAACTTTTGGAATGCACTTTAAAAAGATTAAATTGCTTACCGGCAAGATACTCAGCGAAAGGAGTATCCTCGTAGACTACGTTTTCGGCCATAAGGAAATCTTAAAAAAAAAAAAACGAAAATAGATGAACAAAATTAAAAGACTAAGATTTGGATCACGTAGTGGCACATGAACTGCATGTGCTTTATTATCTTTGCAGACTGAAGTACTGGCGAGAAAAAAAATATAATACAAGTTACTAAAATAGAAAAATATAATAAAAAAATTTTTATTACGTAATAAAACTATAGTGGCTACGTACTACGTATCAACTTTTAACTGTAAAATTTTTAAACTTTTATAACTTTTTTAAAAGAAAATAAACTATAGTTTATAGTTTTTTGTTTAAACTATCGAATCTACAAAAAGTTTTTTAATTTTTAACATTTTATATTATACAGTATACCGTATAAAAAACATAAAAATTTTTTTTTTTTTTTAATACTAGACGATCCTGCCTTTCTTCTTTATTAGGATTATAGTGACTATTTTTACTTATTACTAAGTATACAACAGTATATATATAAACTATCTAAAAGCAAGAGAAAGACTTCCTCGATACCGAAGTACCCAGGTGCAACCTGCCATGTAACTATCTATCTCTGTTAGGGTTTCAAACTATACTTGAAACTTGTTTTTCAATATCACCGATCAGTTGTTAATGCTATATTAGGATCACACTTCTTTCTTTAAAATTTTTTCTTCTTTATAAAGAGCAAAATAAAAAAAAAAGGGAAAGTATAACATGCTATCAAGAAAATACTAATATAAAGGAAAAAACCAATACAAAAAAGAAAAAACAAAAGAAAATAAGACAGATACCAACAAGAAAAAAGAAAAATAATAAAAGAAAAAAATATCAAATTTGACAGAAAAAATGAACAAAACAGCATTATTATAACCTGTGTTAGGCTTAAAAAATTATATATCAAATGCAATATTTATATATCTTTATTATAAAGCTATGCCTTAATAAAAAAAATTTCTTTCCAACTATATAAATATCCATGTGTGGCTTATTTAATAGAGTCCTTGTCTTGTAGAGTAGCATCATATTTGTTGATAAACAAAACATGTACAGTTCGGGACAGGATAAGATATCCATTTTTTATATAGTAGCTTAAAATCATTATAACTTTTTTAAAAAAAATTAAAATAAAAATTTCTCTTTCAATTTTGTTCTTTTTTATTTAAAAAATAAATCTAAAAGAGAAATTTTTAAAAATTTTAATTTTAAAAAAGTTATAACAGTTTAAAATATATAGCTTTTGAAAATTTGGTGCTTATATATATAAAAGTTTATATATAATTTTTAAGAAATTTGATTGGTTGATATTTTTTATTATAAATTTTTATTATAAATTTTTTAAAATTTAGTGCTTTTTGCGGTAAAAAGTGGATGTCTTATGCTGTCCCGAACTGTACTAAAAAATTCTAGAAATATTTGTATAACACTAAGATTATATAAAAGAATACAAACTAAAATAGATAGTACAAATTTATAATAAATCTTTTAGAATTATAGAAAACTAAAAAAGAATTAGAAAATTAAAAACTAGTTTAAGAAAACTTGAGTAAAGAGATTATATAAATCTTTAATGATATTATAGAAAAAGCTAAAACTAAAAACAGATTCACAAAAGTAAAAATACAAAGTATTTTTAAGAAAAAAAGAGTAGAATATACTTTTATAAAGAAAACTAATTAAAGTTACTAGAGTACAAGCTAAAAATATATATATATATATTATAAAAATAGGAAATAACTAGATGATACTTCATGTACTGTGTACTTTTTACTATAAAAATTGCTAATATCTCAAAATTTTACTAGAGTAACTTCTGTTGTATAACTAATAAAAAATATTTCTCTTGTAATTTTAGTCTAAAAAAACTTTAATTCTAATTCTAACACTAATACTAACTCTAACTTTAATATTAGTCTTTATCTTTGTTTGCTATCAAAACTTAGAAAACACAAAGTACATGAGAGCACTATTTAGATTTTTTTATAAAAACATATACTAAAGTTAAGGTGACTATAAACTAAAGATTTAACAGACTCAACTTTCTAGACTATTAGATTAGAATGCTTCAAAAACTAAAAATAGAAGTCTATAAATTAAGAAAAGTGAAATACTATATAGTTAGATCCTCTTAAATACTACGCTTCTAAATGTAACACCTCTCTAAATGTACATCTTTTTTTGGGCTCAAATAATATTATATTTATAGATTTTTACCTCTCTAAATGCAATACCTTCCTAAATGCACATGCTAGAGCTGGTTCTAATGACGTGCATTTAGAGAGGTCTGACTGTATATAGATATTAAAGTTTTAAATAAACTCTACAAAGATATATATAATAGTTAAATAAGTTTATTCTAACTATAAGTAAAAGCCTTAATAACTGTGATATCAAGTTAGCCAAAATAAAATATAGAAAACTCTAATAGATTTATCTTAAAAATAAATTAGTCTTAAAATATAAATAAAATTTATAATTATATACTGTATACTGTATTGTTATATTAGTATATTTTTATTAGATTAGTTATATAAATTACTATTTATAGTTTAGTGTATAGATCACATAGTTCAAATCTATATTATTAGTTTTTTTAGTAAATTTTCACTATTTTGAATTTAGATACATATTTAGGATTTAGCATAGTATTTTACTATAGTATCTTAGTATAGTATCTTAGTATAGTGTTGTACATGGGATGTGTTCATACTATATAAAATATCTAATATCCAAGATTGTCCAAAATTGTCCAAGTCTATGTTCTATATTTAAATAATCAATAAAATAATATAAAAATATATAATTATATATATTTTTAAGTGCTGGATTCATTTATAAAAAAATTAAAATAGATTATTTTAATAAAATTTTGAGTAATTTTAATTTGAAAAAATATCTAAAATTGTTCAAAATTGTTCCATATACAATACTTCCTTAGTATAGTACTTTACTATAGTATCTACTTTAGTATAGTATCTTGATATGTTTTACCAATATAATAGTAGTATTTTCTTAATAATTCTAAAGCTATATAAATCTTGTCTTTTTTTCTAAGGCAAATTAGATTCTAATTTGTATTTTTCTAATTTTTTTCTAATAAATAAATATTATTTTTTTAACTATATACTTGTTATATTATAAACTCTTCTTTATTGTCTTTTTATTATTATTTTGTTCTTTGTTATTTTCTTTTACTACTTTCTATCTTGACTTTATTGTTCTTTATTGCCTATTTTTATTATTTTTTATTTTTGTTTTATTGTCTTTTTTTTTAAGTTTTTCTTTTTTGTCTTTTATATTTTTATACTCTATATTTTCTATTTTTTGCTTTTATTTTCTTTTTCTTTTTCTCCTTTTTTCTCTTTATTCATATTCCTTACCCTCTGTACAGTATGTTAAGTCAAGTGATATAGTTAACATTTCAAAGATTTTTATATTATAATATATATATAAAATTAAGTTAAAAGATTTTACTAGATAAAATTAGATTATAATTAGAGATTTTAAATAGATAACTTTCTAGTTAAGTTGCAGATATAGCAGCTAGTATAAAATTTAGAGTAGACTATTTAAATAGATAATTATGTTTTTATTTGTAAAAACTAAAGAGTTTAAATAAATAATTTTTTAGTTAGATTACAAATATAATAGCTAGTATAGAATTTCAGACAAATTATTTAAAATAAATAACCAAAAGTTGTATGTATGACTAGTTATATCTTTATTATAATTAAAATTTAACTTTTAATAAAAAGTTAAAGCCAAAGAGATTATTTTTAATGCTAAATATATATACTATATACTGTATATATTTAGTATAAATTATATAAAAACTTTTATAAAAAAAGAAGGCAGTAAATAAAAAATTTTAATTTTATAAAAATTGTATTTCTAACATTTTAATTCTTCAAAAAATTGAGTTTCACAAATAAATACAAAGTTTAATAAAAAACTCTTCTATTTCTATTTATTTATAGTATCAAAAAAGATTAATAAAATATTAATTAGAAAGTGTGATAACTTAGTGAAGTGGTAAAGTTGTCACATCCCTAGACAGCAGGTCTAGAGTTCAAATCTCATGGATGACATTTTTGAAAAATAGCTTTGTAATATGGTTAACAGCTATTCAATAATTAGTAAAATCTAGAAATCTGTAATCTCAGCTTTGGTATAATAAATCTAAGATATCAAAATAACTAAAAACCTGTTTGGCAAGCCTTAAGTTGGAAGATAGCACAATCTTTGACAGTATTACAGAAAGATTAAATTTGAAACCAGAGACCAAGATCAAAGAACCAAGTGACTAGATCTTTAAGTAGAGAATATACTAGCCAAACTACCAGGTTATCAAACTAAAGAAAAAGGATATGTACTCTGAAAGTATATACTAAGAGAAGGAAGACTATATAGACATCTAAGATCTAGATAGACCAACCTTTCTAGGTTGCTAGCTAGAAATAAAGAAGAAACTGGTAAAGAATCTGAGAAAGAAGAAAAGTTCGAATATAGATGCTAAAGTTGTATAAACCTAAATACAAGAGCAAAGAGTATATAACAACTACTAATATAAAAAGGTTGTGGTTTAGGATACAGACTAGATTATGGTAGTATTCTAAAAAATAGCTTGAGATACAAACTTAGTAGTAGTAACACAACAGATACTAGTTAGGAAGAAGTTACTAAACATGCAGATAAATATATATGTAAGATATATACTACTTTGTTAGATTTATCTTGAGGATAAAGTAGTCCTAGGTAGGATGTAAAATCTATAGATAATGCAAAATCTAGCATATGAATAGTAAGTTATATCTTGGTTAGATAAGGAATAATAGTTTGGTTGTGACTAAAAAGTTTAAATAAATAATCTTCTAGTTGGGTTGCAGATATAATAGCTAGTATGGAAACTTGGACAAACTACTTAAATAGATAACCAAAAGTTATATATATAGCTAGTTGTACTCTTACTTGTAAAAGCTAAATAGCTTAAATAGATAATTTTCTAGTTAGATTGCAGGTATAAT